TTGTTTTGTTTTAACTCTGATTTTACACCTACTGCCAAGAGCTTTGAGAGCTTTGAGATGTTTTTATTAGTCTAAAATTAACAAGATGGATGAATGACCTCTTCTTGTTTAATTATTTCTTGTGTTCTGCTTATATTCTAACATTGTTTTTTATTTTAAATCCATCTAAAGCTGGGTTAAGATGACATCAGCACATCTCATTACTTTTCAGTGAATTCATTATTTAAATAGACAGAACCCAAGGAGTAACAAGTTATAAGCAGGTTAAGTAAACTGCAGCACTAGCCACATAACGATGGCGTGTCTATATCAAGAGTCCATTCTTCAGCCACAATTTATGTTTCCATGGTGTTATAGCTTTAAGCCCTTCTCTTAGCTATCAGGAAAGTATCCACCAGAGCGAAACAAAATGCCTGGAGAGATTTAACAGCCGTTCCTGTTTCTTCAAAATGCATCACACACAGTAACCTTGATAAGTTTTCATTAGATTCTAGAAAGATATAGCTATTTTCACTATGGATTTAATAGAAATGCCACATTGAACAGCTTTTAAAAGACTATTGTATTATTATTGTAATTATTGTTATTCAAATTGACAGTAAATGTGTTAAAATTTAAAACAGAAAGAAATATCAAATTGCTATATTTATGTACTGCTGTGCTGATTTTTTCAGATCATTCCAGTGCTGTTTTTTACAGAATAAGGATAGGAGTTTGAGTAACTAAATCCATTAATGAATGAAAGTTGTTCTCAAGTAATATTTAGGAACTGAAAACAGAGAGTTTGAGCATTATAAAGTGGACAGCAGTTCCTCAACGAAACTGGACAGATACTCATTCATCTTCTTGTGAATGTGCTGTACCTAAACCGTGTCCTTGATGAAACAAGAGAAATAAATCTACACAGACTCATCCACCGTGGTCCCAGGAGGAAAAGAAATAAGCTAGGAGGGATTTGGGAGTTGTATACCGCTAGAATAATTTAAACCATTCAGTTTCGCCTTTCTATATGCAAGAGATTTGACCTCCCTTTGTGCTTTTCTTTCACATCAAAGTGGATTTTAATAATCTGATGTACTAAATATTTTGCACGCGGTAATCCCTTGCTGTAAAACTGGATTTTGTATGCAATTGTGGGATATAATTCATTACAGGACATTGGGCCACTTGGATGATTAAGGTCGCTTGAGAGATTTTTTTTTTTAAAATTGTAAGCTACTGCTTGTAAGCACTACAATGTAGTCTTTGCATGTGTTTAATGAAACTAGTCTTTTATTGTCAGTTTATACTGGCTTTGCTTCAAAACAGTCTCCCTGTTTGATGTGTCATGTCATTACCAAGGGGAGAGTATGCTTTTCGATGATGTATTTAACAGCCCTTCATCTAAATAGGACGTGGTCCACATCTTCATTAGGTGAGAGTTGTAAGAGTGTAGCCCCAGAGGGTAGCATGCTATCGATACTGGGAAGCACAGTTAGAAAGCAGTTCTATTTTTAAACGGAAAGTAGTTTTATCTTTACAACAGCTAGTGGATTACAATGGATTACTGACAAAATGTGAGGGATTTGATTTCATCATTATGAAGTACTTTCTTAAAATCTGGTGTTGCTGTGTTGTGTTATGCCATGTGTGTGGTATAAATATGTTCATAAGGTGACTGGTTATATGATTTTTCTGCCATATTGGAGTTGTCATGAAGCAATTCATTACTTGTTATCTGAGTATGCTTTGCTGATTGGAATAAAGTTGGTATGGGACAGTCTCCTTCTTAAGATTGTTTCAAATAAATGGATACATTTTGATTATGCATGAATTACATTACCCAATCAGATTTTATTTATGTTTAATTGGCATATATTTACAGATACTGTGTCATATATCTAAAGTATATTGCTGTAAGCTCTTTAATAATCATAGATCTATCCTATGGAAACAAAAACAGTTCACAGCTGAATTAAACTGATTGGTTGCTCTATTTGGCAATCAATCGTACAAAACCTTTGACCTGTCCTTCTGGTCACAGAAACATTAGCTTAGAACTGCTTTGAACTTAGAATGCAGATAGGGTCATGTAAACAAACCTTTACAAACCTTTCCTGAGATAAGTTTAGTTTTTATAAAGGTTCCATGCAAGATATTATAAGATATTATGTCCTTAGAGAATGCAGAAAGGGACATTGTTACAACATTAGATATATAAGATTCCTTATGTGCTCTATCAAAAAATGTTCTCATTTCTTAACTGTTGTTTCTACAAATTTGGAAGAGTGGGATTATTTTATTATTGCTGCTGACATTTATTAAGATAGATTTTGTATGATGTTTCCACTGTTGTTAGGCAGACTCTGCATTTACCGCATTGTGATTGTCACGGATGTCGGAAAGGACGAACCGTGGAATGACAGGAGAGCAAAAAGACCCTATGCGTAGCAGCGAGACAGGGGTTAGCCCGTGCTCAGCTGTTCAGGAAATGCCGAATAAAAACCTATGCCCTCAGGTAGCGGACATGGGGCGACCTGGTGCTAGGCGGGTTTCAGGACATCCGAACGACAATGCTGAGCGAAGGTGAAAGAAAGACCCGGAAATATATAGTCCCAGGGAGAGAGAAACACCGGAAGGACAGCAAAGAACTGGAAATGAGAGACAGGACAGAGAAGGAGCGCCCTCTGGCTGCAGAGGGCATAACAGTGATGTCCTAAGAGTCAAGGATTTGACAAGAGGACGAGAGTCAGATGATGGCCTACTGTATATGGAGTCCCTTCTCTTCCTTGCCTCTTCTGAGTGGACCTTACAGCCATTAGCTTTGGTCTAGTTCATTGTTCAGGGAGGGGTCTGAGGATTAACAATTAAGGAATAAGGTTAAGAATTTCAGTTTTGGTGCTCTTTTTGTCTTTTCTAAGTTAACATTACACAATTGGTATTACAGTGGCTGCTGTGCATACAGTATTTTATTGCTTGCAGCTTGCACTGGAACATATTTGTGTTGGACACATTTTTGTATCTGGGGTCAGGGGTGATGAACTAGGCAGACTTGCTTATTTGAACGTTTTAAAATAGACATTAATGTTGTTCAGTGCATGACCCCTGATTTCTATGAGTACAATTAAATACATTTCTAACATTGAGGTTATGGATATTCGGAACGTATCATGAGGAGCCTCATCTGGTTTCATAATTTCATCCATGCACTATTGAAACGACACCTTCTCTAACATATAACAGTTAAAAACAGTTTTGATATCTTCCAAATAAGTTGTCATTAGATAAGTTATCATCATAATGTGATACAGCAGTAAGGTTTTATGTGAATGTGAATGTTTATAGCAAAGAAATAATGCATTGTTTGTGTAAAATTATTACACACCATAATAGAACAATACTTTAGCAAAGCAGTGGCAGGTTTCTGTAGAATTTTAAAATAACAATGTAATGTGACTATATCTTTTCAATAACACAATTACTTATTAATTGACACCTGAAGAAGGCTCCACGGCCGAAACGTTGTGTTCTCTTTCTTCTTTTTTTCAGCATGGAATAAACCTACAGTATTACTTGTTCCTTTACAGCATACACATGCTGACGCAGCTACCCACCTGAACACTTATTCATTAGTCTTATCCATTTGTATTTCTAATCAGATTGGCTTTTTACACAGTATTAAAAAGATTTATGAGACTTCTAGTGAGAAACATGCATGTCTTATTCTTGTAATATTAACTGAACCCTTACACAAATAAACTATAGCCTTGCACTGCTGTATGATTGTAATAGTACTACTGTACCAGAGTGTACTGATATTAACAACATTAAAAAAAAAGAATCATTATAAATACTTTAAATTGCATAGCCCATAATTACATTTACAAAGTCTAGATTTTGCAATGGACAGGTGTCATGTCCAGGCTGAAGCACTTAGAAAATGAATGGATTGAAGTCTGGAATTAATTGGCTAAACCCATTTTAATCATTTGAATTCTATTGAGCATGAATGATGCCTGATAAATCTGGAGGTAGAGGCCTAAATTATTTTTGGAAAGAATTAATTTGACAATTGAGAACAAAATGGCAAGTAAGTGGACATAATAGTTTACACATATAAGCCATTTGGTTATCACGTAATTGTATTATCACTAGAATTGCCTAAACAGTTTTAGTACCTGAACAGTTTGTGGTACAGTATGTGTTGCATTTCAAAATGTATTTTATATCCCAGTTTGGCATAAAAATGACTGTAGAAATGTGTGCTTTGCAAATCTCAAGCAGATTTGAGTGTTGCTGAAATCCCCCAGGTTTGGGTGCAGTAGTTCTCAATAGTTATTCTGAAAATTATGCATATTCCAGATATACTATACATTCTCTTCAAGATATACTATACATTCAATCTAAATTAGGACACAAACTGTACCTTATAAATAAGTGATCAGAATTGATTAATTTAACAATCTGATCTTTTAAAATATTACAACAAGAAGTCTCTACTTAATTGTAGGAGGAATTTACTCATTTACTGCAGACACAGAGGATATGTAGGTCTATGTTCATGGCTCTGTTGACATACAGATATTATTTAAAGCTGGAGATGCCTGAAAATCTAAAGTACACATAAAAACTCTGACTTTAACAACAAATAAGACACATATATATATATAGGAACAAGTAATAGGTTTATTCCATGCTGTAAAAATTCCATGTTTATTCCATGTCTTCTTCTTCTTCTATATAGAACTTTGTTTAAGGATCCTTTTATTGTTTTAGTAATCAAGCAGTGGAAAAAAAAGAAGCTTAAACTGCATGGAATGTGGGAGGCTTTGAACAGAGCAGGTCTAGCAGCAAGGATAAGTGTGGGTTAATGTGTTCTGCAAATAATACATTCTCCACTTATATTTTAAAGCATAGGCTACATGACCGTTGTAATGACTGAATAAATGGCTGCATATTTTTAGGACTGGAAAGATCTTTTTCTTCTTCAATTTTTCAGCATTCTAATTGATCTGTTCCAGGTAACAGAGACTCGGACTGGGCCCCTGGGTTGCAGCAGTTATGATAATCTGGACTCGGTGAGTTCAGTCCTTCTGCAGAGCCCGGAGAGCAAGCTCCATTTACAAGGTAAATAGTCTCATTGATCACAACCGAGCGCCATACGGGTATTCTTATTATAGCCTGGCTCTATGCGCTTTTCACCACTTTACTTCATATACATTGAGCATTGAGTCCGAGAGCCTGGTGGGTTAAGCAGAGTCACAGTTGGCATACTAAGGCCCAGGTGTAGTCATGTTACTGTGAGTTATTTATGAAATATATATTTCATATGTGAAAGTGTGGCATTTTCATTTAGTTTGAAAGCATATACCCAGGAAAAGTGAGAAAACCATGCAGATTATTTACTATAGTTTACTAAGAGATAATTTATTTTATTGGAGGGACACACTTTTTCCCTTTGGAAATAGAGAGCTTTTTATTAAATCTAAGGTTTTCAATCAATGTAATATTATCTATAAAGACGCTATCAAGGTAGAAATTGCATGGGAGGCATTCTTTGAAAAAGAAAGTCAAAATTCCAAGATTCAGGTGCTGTTTTGTTTTGAAACTGCAAGCAAATGGTCTTGCCCTGGAACAGCTATGATAAATGATTTCTATTACTCCTTAAGCGCACTGAAATCCTGCATAGAAATATAACATTACTACGCCTCCAGTATGTCAAAATCACAAGTAAATTCTTACATCGCAAGACAAATGTTCTTAAGTCTCAGGATTTTCATGCAAGCTGCAGATTTAAAATAAGGTTTTGACTTGAAGACAAAATAAGTACTAGTATCTGGCTTAGCTCTTGAACACCTTGAGTCACACTGCTAAAATGCCTCTTTTCAGTCTTTCTCTATGTATTCCTGCATTCTTCCTGAGATTCTTGTTCACATTCAGAATAGTTCAAGGTTTCTTTCCACTCTCTGAGGCTCTCTGAATTTTTTCCCCATAAATTCCATAATATTGTGAAAATACTAAATTTATTTTTGCCAATAAACAAACATAACCAATGTATGTGTTTAGAACTTTGTGTCCCTCTGGGCAATGTACAGTAGTTCAGGTGTTTAGTTATCTAGACAAACTCAGATGATCTGCGTCCCTTTGAAGTGCCAGATTCTTCAAACTCAGTGGTGTCTAATTATGCAGGTGTGACAGTTGGTGAAACATGTTCCTTTAATTTCACATTTCCATTAAAAATATGTTTCTGCCACAGGATAGATGACAATATGAAATAAATAATAAATAAAACATTTCGTATTAGATTTACGGATGATGCAAAACACCACTGCCCTCAAAATTATTGCTGCAAGAAATTGCACTCATGTGTCAGTATGTCAGTATTTCAAGAATGATCTTCTATACAACACTCTACACAGAAGACGCATTTTTGCATTTTAAAGTGTTTTATTTCAGTATTTGTTTTCCTCCAAATGTGAATTAATGCAACATAGTGCTGAAACATACTGAAGGTTTGAGGCATTAAAGTTTATGTGGTGTTGAGGGAAATGAGTGTAATTATGAGACTAGAAGGACCTTCACTCTTTTCATGAGGAATGAGCCAGGGAGCTGCTGGAAGGGAGAAGATGAGATGGAGGCAGGGTAATGAATGAGAGACGCAAAGGGGGTGCACAGCAGAAAAGATGGATTGTAAATTGTGACCTTCCCCTGAACCTCTGTAGCTTGAAGCTTTAAAGAAATGACGATGATGACATTTTCTGTGGACCTTTATCTTTTCCAATTAGATTTAAATTAATTTAACAATTGTTCAGAAATTTTCCTTCATTTAAAGATAGGCCAGTGGGATATATTCAATTCAAAAGGTTAAGGTTGTCCTTTTTTCTCACCTACATTGGAAATAAAATGCTTTCATTGTTCTATTTGTTTTACCGTTTTGGTTTAAATACCTAACTCGTTAACTTGATGAAAGGGTCTTCTCAAGAAAAAAAACAGTAATTTGTTTACTGTGCATCTATCTGCTACAGAATGAAAGAGATACAGTATATACAATGTAATTGGCAGGTAAGGTAGCAGTAGTATGGAATTGCATACTGATAAGTATACTTACTGATACTGATATTTAAGAAAGTAGGCCTTTAGTTTTCTGAATGTGTAGAGAAAACAATGTTAATAAAAAGGAACCTGAGTTAATAATATTTTATCGGTAAATGTGATTGGTAAACAACTACAATACTTTGAACAATAAGTAGCTGCTCATGTAGAGGTTACCATGAGTTGTTTTGATATACTTTTTGAGGACTCTGATCAATGTTCAGATTCAATCAATATAAAGATTACTAAAGACAATCACAGTTTCTTCCTTCTCACTCATACCAAGCTATTTTAATAACAACCAATGTTATATCACAGTAGTAAACAGTAATGAAGGGTCTGTAAAGTAAATCACAGAGACTCAAAACATACATGGATTATAATTTGTGACTGTATCTGAAATGTCAAAGACTTTATAAAGACATTATTTTAATGATCGTATTGTATAGCCTTACTGGGTACTTAAATATATATTTGTTAAGTATGTATTTGCATAATATTTTGTCACATTTCTGTAATATCACAAGCTAAAATCAAATATATTAGTCTATTTAGATACTTCATACTGAAATACAAAGTACTGTAAATGGGTTATGTGAAGAAATCTCTTTTCTATGAAGATATTTTTTCATACAGTGGTATTTTAAATAATATAAAGCTTCTAATTAAGAATTGAAAGTGAAAGTAAAAGGATACTAAGATAATATTTTTAGTTTTATTGTATTTGTCCAACAATATTGAATTATTGTGTTCCAAAGGCAATCCAACTGCTCAATGATGTTCTTAACCAAGTTCAGCACTAGCCTGCCTGTACAACTGCACAGTGAATGGAGAAGTCATGAAATATCTTTATGGATTATGCCCAACAGATCTGTACTTTTTAAACTTGCAACATCAAAACACAGTGTAATAAAATGCTGGTTGTGTGGGAAAAAAATATTATTATAATTTTGATTAATTTATGTAATTGGTCATAATATTTCACATTACCACTGACATTTCATCAAAAAGTATTTTTATTCAGCTTGTGATCTGAAGCAATGTATTATAAATATGAATTACATTTAAATACTTTGTGTCTTCTTTGGTAATTTTTGGAAATTCAAAATGATAAAACAGCAGTCATCTTCTTAAAGTGTTTTTTTTTTTAAGAAAGCTTTTAGCAGAAAAGCCTTACAGTTAGACAAGTACATTAGGTAAATGGATATTCCATCCATTTTCAGTACACTTGTCATAGTGAGTGTCCTGGTATAAATGGAAATTATGTATCTTCATAAAGAAAGTAAAAAATGAATCCACATTATAAAAAGTGGTGGCCATTCATGTAATAATACCTATATGCATCTTAATAGTTGTAACTAAATTGTAGTACTGTGCATTACAGTAATATTATAAAAAGACTCTCAGATTTAAACAAAGCTGAACTCCCTTCCCAATTATACAGTATGTGAATTTTATGGTCAGAAGCCTTTGACTTAATGCACGAGTCTCAAACAATTTGAAAATGAGAGCCAGATGTCTTCTGTTTTTTTGTTCCTCTGAAGCTATCACTTACTTAGTTACTCTTATTATGTAATTGATTTTATAGTTGTTATACGTCTAACCATACTCTGGAATATGTTAAAAATAAATTTACCTTCAGTGGACAGAAGGTTAGACTGATACACTGAAAAATACCTTGAGATAAATCCTATATTTGCCTAAGAATCTAATTAGGTGAAGTGGAACAATCTGAATTGCTGCTTTACAGCACTGGGGCCCTGGGTTTATTTCCTGACTTGGGGTGCTGTCTGTGTGGAGTTTGCATGTTCTCAAGCGTTCACGTGAGTTTCCTCTGGTCGCCCCAGTTTCCTCCAAAATTACAAAGACATGCTGGTAGATTAATTGACTTCTGGTAAAATTGGCCCTGGTGTGAGCGTGTCCACAGTATCTGTTTGTCTGCCCTGCAATGGACTTGCACACCTTGCTTTCTGGAATTGGCTCTGGCTCCCCATGATCCTGAATTGGAAGAATCTGTGAGAAGATGGATGGATGGAACAATATACAAACGTCACTATGTCCAATAATTGAGTTTGAGAACTCATCTTAACTGTATAATCTGATATGCTATTCAAATCAAAAATGACCACTTGAATTTTTTTTATATTTTAGGACAGGCAGAAAAAATGTGCCCATGTTTCGTTTAGTGTATTGCATCGGATATGTGGCACTAGGAATTTATCAAAAATGCATACTTACATAGTCTGCCTTTTTTGTTATTTGAAGTGTTTTCCCCCTGAAGTGGGAAAATGTGTTATTTTATGGAAAGTAGCCTACTTCTCTTTTCCTTCATGTCTAAGCAAATACTTACATTACCTCTTCTCTACCAGCAGTACATAGAAACCAGGCAAACTTTGTTCTAGAGTTCAGTTATGGAAATTGTGATGACTTATTCTTTCCAGTCTACAATGTGATACATCTCAGCAAGGTGCAACTTATTTAGTGTGAAGAAAGTGGATTAAATAGTATGACTGATGACAAGAAATTAAGACTATAAAGAATCACACAATTTTTATAGTACTGTACTTGGAAATACAATCAATCAAAATGTAAATAAAAAATATTAGTTTTAAGAAACAGTAATCTTAGTATGTCTGTAACCAGGGTCAATTTAATCAGACTAATACTTTTCAACTATTTGGAACATTGTGGACTTGTGGAAGAGAAAGAGGCTGGCGACTTGCACTCTGTAGTTCAAGGTCACACTGCAAGGTCAGAGCCAGAGAATGAAGTCATTACTGCAAAGGCACATTCATAAGAGGGACTGCATTGAATCCAAACATTGTGTTATTTTATTTATTGCTTTTGGAAAACACAGTAGGGAGCAGAAGTATGAGGCACAGCAGGGTGTAGCAATGAATTAGGATTCAGATAGATCCTGGTTCAGACAGATTTTTTTGGGGGGGGGATTTCTGGTTTGAATGTCTGCATCAGATCAGATTAGTATGAAGTTGCAAGCTTACAAACTGAGCATCCCGAGCTCTAATTTTAATGTG